TCACGTCAAGTGAAGTTGAAGGATGGACTTATGTCACTCCAAAGAAAATGCACAAGAAACATAGGTCTCCTCCACAAGTTCACCAATCGGAAAGGGGGCAAAGCAGCTACCGTCAACCTTCAAAGCTACATGAAAGTGTTGAGGATGAGGAAGTTATGACACAAAGATCGTCCGTTGCCATCACAATGCGCGATTTCTTCCCCAAAGACTTCTTCAATCACTCGGTCAAGACTCCTTGCTATGAAGATTGCAAGGAATGCCTCTCTAAGATCGTTTGACAAATTCAACCAAAGCTCCTCGTTCGCACGAGCCTAAAAGGCGACAACCAACGCTCCTCGTTCGCACGAGCCTAAAAGGCGACAACCAACGCTCCTTGTTCGCACGAGCCTAAAAGGCGACAACCAAAGCTCCTCGTTCGCACGAGCCTAAAAGGCGACAACCAACGCTCCTCGTTCGCACGAGCCTAAAAGGCGACAACCAACGCTCCTGGTCCGCATGAGCATAAAAGGCAACAACCAAAGCTCCTTGTTCGCACGAGCTGAAACTGCAAACGGCACCAAACGCTCCTTGCCTGCACGAGCTGAAACTGCAAACGGCACCAAACGCTCCTTGCCTGCACGAGCTGAAACTGCAAACGGCACCAAAACGCTCATTGCCTGCACGAGCTGAAACTGCAAACGACACCAAACGCTCCTGGCCCGCAAGAGCATAAACTGTGTACGGCAAAATCATCAAAAAAAAAAAAAAAAAAAAAATCATCACTCATTTGAACTACGTCATGACTTGATCCCTCCTCAACCAAGGGTACGTAGGCAACTTGAAACTTCAAAACTTCAAGTACAATCACATCATCAAAAAAAAAAAAAAAAAAAAAAAAAAAAAAGGAAATAACACATCTTGGTGATGTATATGTTTTATCTGTATTTAGCACAATACACTAAATAAGTAAAGCATGTTCATTGATCTCCGAGAAATTACAAGTACGTACAAAAAAAAAAAAAAAAAAAAAAAAAAAAAAAAGAGATGGAGCTTTCATAAAGGTTGTTCACGTGAAGCCCCACTACTTGGGAAAACTACAGAAGCGGGAGGCATCAAAGAAGAGGCCTCAATACTTGGTGGAACGCTAGATGAGCCAGGAAAAAGGTGCCTCTGGAAGAAAGCAGCAAGCCTTTGACGGTCACTTTGACGGTCACTTTGAATTCGACCACTGGATTCTTGCAGCTCATCAAGCTTCCTCTTCATGCCCGTCGAATAGTTATTTGCAAGCACATGCAAACTTCTATTCTCGTGCTTAAGCTGTTTGATCTCTTGCTTAAGAGTTTCCACCTCCGCCATCAATGATTCCACTTGGCGGGATCGAGCAAGTAGGCGTTGGCCCATGTTGGACACAGAGCCTGCGCACTGAACACTGAGAGTTAGGGACTCTTGAACGGCCAACTCATCGGACCGTTCTGAAAGCAGCCTACTATCTTTTGGAGTGAGGAAGTTCCTAGCTACTATCGTAGCTGTTGTTGCGTCCTTCATCACAGAATCTTCACATGTCAAAGGGCCATTAGAAGATAAGAAAGAAGGGCACCATACATTTACCTGACGCGGCGCACTCGGATCACTGCTGAGACTCAAATCTAAGCAAATGTTAGACGGGTTAGCCATTGTCAAAAGGTTAAAAGAGAAAGGTGGATGGAGTAAAATCAGAAAGGGCCGAAGACGATTTTCACAAACGGGCGATCTTCAAAGTGTGCATGTTGGAGGTAATCGATACCTCTATAAAAAGCCAAGGCGACACGACCACCGATTCAAAAAAATCGGATTTTCCTGCGTGAAGTTCGGCGACGCTTTCGCGGCTTTTCAGATAACGCGTTCAACTTTGTCAAAAGATCTCTGACAAAGTTGAAAACACGTGAAGGTTATCATCCCAACTACGCGCCTTTGCCAACAAGCGTGGTGGCAGAGCCGCACCCGTGACTACTTTTTCGAAGAGGCGCTCGCTCAGAAATCGAAGAGACGCTTGTTAAAAAATCGAAGAGACGTTTGTCGACAAGGGTAAAAGAACATAACCACCACTTGCTATTGGGAAATCCCTATATATGTCGACCTTCATCTTTTATGGCAAGGCAGACCTGAAAAAAAAAATGCCCAACTCTTCCTCACCTCTGAGGGCGCACTCCCAGCAAAGCCTTTCGAAATACTCAATTTTTTCTTCTTCCCCAAAGAAGATACCAGATGCCTGGAGTACAGATGACCCAGGAGGAAACGGTAGATTGAAGTATGTGGAGACAAGCACAACAAATACATGTGCTGATCCATTTGCCGCTTCTTCAAAAGCAAAGGTATCTCATATCATCAAGGTCGAAAGCAAAGGTATCTCATATCATGCTTTTTCCTTGTCTTTTCCTTTGTCCTTGTTCTTACTCGCATGGCAAAGTGAAAGAAGCAATCAGCCGGCACTTGGAGTCAGTCTTCCGATCTGGAACCGACTGCCTGGAATCTATTCCCTGGTTGCTTACCTAGCGTTGCTCTCGAGTAGTCATCTTCAACGGTTGATACACTTCCAGAGAAGGGACCACTTCTGCAAAGGGGAGCAAGTAAGGCAAGTAAAAATGATACATTAAAGCATGTGGAGACAAGCAACAACTGCATATGCTGAGCTATCCTCTAACCCTCTTCAATACGAATTGGAGAGATTGAACAAAGAAACAGAAAAAAAGAGTAAAGCTCAGACCTTCGGGGGAGACCAAAATTTCCTGCTGCCCAGTACAAGAGTAGCACAAAGGAAAATCAACGATTGGAGGAAACCAGAAAATCTTCCAGTCGAACTCAAGATCAAGCCTCGATGGCCCTTGAAGAAATTTCCTGCTGCCCAGTTCAAGAGTAGCACAAAGGAAAATCAACGATTGGAGGAAACCAGAAAATCTTCCAGTCAAACTCAAGATCAAGCCTCAATGGCCCTTGAAGAAATTTCCAGCCCAATTCAAGATCAAGCCTCGACGGCCCTTGGGTTGACATCTACATTAAGGGACTTCAAAACGCATCTTCTACACATGACAAGCACATGTCTACGACGCGCCTTGAAGTGGGGGCATTTGTAGACATCGAAATTTCAGTAAAACAAATGTTCACCCAACGCATTAAAGTTTTGACGTGTCAAGGCATACATGGCATACGCCACGTGTCGTACAAATTGTACACATGGCATGTGACTCAACAAAATAGGAAGAAATACCCTTGGATGATTAAACAAGGTTTTTCTTCTCAATTTGGGCAATGACAAGGTAAGCACACTTCAATCCATTACGGATCAAAGCAAGTTTTTCTCATTTGGACAATGACAAAGCATACACATTTCAAGTTTAAAATGGTATTAAGTGGGAAATTAGGCCATAAGTTACACCACTTCAATTTCAATATTGCATTAAGTGGGAAATTAGGCCATAAGTTAGACCACTTCAAGTTTAAAATGGTATTAAGTGGGAAATTAGGCCATAAGTTACACCACTTCAATTTCAATATTGCATTAAGTGGGAAAATTAGGCAATGGTGCTTGGAAAGGAAAAAAATATTTTGTGGTGGTGATTCATTCTCAAAGCCTATAAATAGGCTTCTCCATCAAGGTATCAAGCATCAAGGAATTCACAAATACATTTCTCTACTCCCAAATTGGAAGAGAATTCCCCAAATCCTTGAAGCTTTGAAACTCCAAAGCTCTCGAGCATCCAAATTCCCAAGAATTCCGAAGGATCAAGAAAGCACTCTTCGTTCTTCGTCAAATCCTCTTTCAAGATCAAGCCCCGACGGCCCTTGAAGAAAGTGTTCATCGTTCATCCTAAGATCAAGCCCCAACGGCCCTTTGGATCAACAACCTCAACAAATCCACACCTCCAATCGTTCTTCAAGATTAAGCCCAAAAGCCCTTGAAGATCCGCTCATCCATCAACCTTCAAGATCAAGCCCAAAAGCCCTTGAAGAAATCCACACAACCATTCTTCAAGATCAAGCCCCGACGGCCCTTGAAGAAAGTGTTCATCGTTCATCCTAAGATCAAGCCCCAACGGCCCCTTGGATCAACAACACAAACAAATCCACACATCCAATCGTTCTTCAAGACTAAGCCCAAAAGCCCTTGAAGATCTGCTCATCCATCAACCTTCAAGATCAAGCCCAAAAGCCCCTTGAAGAAATCCATACACTCATTCTTCAAGATCAAGCCCAACGCCCCTTGAAGATCTGTTCATCAACTGTTCATCCTTAGATCAAGCCCCGACGGCCCTTTGGATCAACAACTCATCCACAAACCTACACCTTACGAAGATAGAATCAGAGGACCAAATTAGAGAGAGATCGTAACCCCAAAATCATAAACACAAAAATATTATTTTGTACACGTTATTCTGGTTTCTTGTTTCAAGGAATCTTTCGTGTTCACAACAATACTTTTTAAAATTGCCCTACGAGCATAATTCTTTTTTTATACAGTTTTTAACATTAAACCAGTTATCTTTAAATTTAATTCCACCATTATACAGCGATAATCAAGTCCGCTCTTCTCCTCTTCCGCTTTCTTGATTGTTCCTCGATTAATTCCAAGTTCTACCCCCTCTGATTTTTCTAAGATTTTGCGATCTTTCAAAATAAAATCTACATAATATTACATTGAAAAAAGTATTGCCTGTATATGCGCCATACAATTAATATATATATGAAATGTAGATGGTGGTGGGGTCCAATAATTTGGACCATACACATGCAGTGCGATTCCCTTATGCAAAAAGCAACATCCTTCCGCGCATAAGAACACGTCTCACTCACTCCAGTTTGCCCATCTAATTAATCCTCTTTCTTCCTAATCCACCAAACCCCACAAGCCTACGTCCAAAGCAAACTTTATTTACTCTGTATACTTTCTTTCAAGTTTCAACCCCCATGCACCTAATAACGTAACAAACCATCCCTCCTTCCTCTCCCTCAAATTCATTGCAACCAACGTAAGACGTAGAATCGATCGAGATTTCAGACAGACGAGCCTGCAATATGGCGATCAAAATGCAGTATGGCACGAAACATCCCGTGGTTCTAATAATCATGCTCCTTTTGATTGCATACGTAGTAGGCCCAGTCTATGCCGACGAAGCCCCAGGCGCTCCCGCCGAGGAGAAGTGCGACTCGTGCACTCCAAGCCCACCACCGCCGGTTCCATCCCCACCACCACCATCACCGTGTCCTCCTCCACCAGCGCCTCCACCACCATCACCGTGTCCTCCTCCACCAGCACCACCGTCACCCCCGCCTTCTCCCAAGCTGCCACCGTGCGGCCCATGCGGTCAATACGCGCCTCCACCGCCGTCAACGCTGACATACATCACCGGTCCGCCGGGACAGTTGTACCCTATCGAACAGAATTTCAACGGTGCCAGTCGGAGTTCGGTCAACGCGTTACCGGTTTTGCTTGGGCTGCTGGGTCTCCTGGCTTTTTGGTGATCAATTATGACTTGTTAATTCATATGGTAAGTACGCATTACAAAATTAATTCAGATGATTACAAGGGATATAAAATTTAATTTCTGGATGTTATAGTTAAGGATAAGAGTTTCAGAGCAGGACTATCATTTTTGTAATCGAGGGAAATATTAAGGGCACAAAGGGGATGGTCAACACTTTCGTTTGATTCTTGCTCTAGTCTCATCTCTAGTCAATTGTGTAATAATCTTCCTTAACAATCTTTCGATTTCAATTTTATTATCAATAGCATTAGAGTTCGTTCGTAATCACTTTTATTTTCTCAATTTCATATTTCTTTATTTTTCTTTCATTCAATTCAATTCCGGTGTCTAGCTCTTGGATTATTTTTATTTTTTAGTTATATAAGTAATACATTACATTAAATTGATCTAAATTACGAAAGGAAAAAAATATTCAAAGTTGAGCGGAGATTAATATATTTCATCCCGTACATAATCGATGCGATCGATCCTGTGTATCTAGATTGTGCGAGTATGGATTTCCCAACCCAACCCACCAGCTTGCCCTTCCACTGACGTCTTAATTAAAAAACTTCGTTTTATTTGGGGACGCTATAATTATATAAATGTGTGATGTGCTTGTAGCTTAGGTAAGGGGTAACCATGTGTCCACGCGCCATGTTTTTTGTGGACTCAATTGTGAATGTGCTCTAGGGCATAATTCAAGGCAGAACTTGTGCATTTGTCCCACAAAGTTATTTAAGTTGCTTCTGTTAATAAACTTCCTCTCACAGTCTCATTTAGGGTAGAATATTCCGGACTGAGATATATTAAAAAACTACTTATTAGTTCAGTTATTGGAGACGAATTCTATGACTATATGCATGTATTGAATTTTATTTTTAGTATTGGTGAATTCACGATGGTAACTAGAAAAAGATTAATTTAATAATGCATTTGTATGTACATGAGTAGTGGTTGGGTGTATTCATTTGTTCTATACCCATATAGGAGAAAATGGTCATCTCATGCGAACAGTAGACAATACAATTTGCATTCCAAGACCAAAATACACAGTTTTTTTCTATCTGTTTGTCTCAGAGCCGTTGATAATTTAATTTGTGTAATGAACAACGTGCCATTATTGTATGATATGGCTGGATAAATACATAGAGTATATAACAACTTCAGAGTATGCGAACTTAACTCTTTCTGTAAAGGTTTAGAAAAGTCGACGCACAGTATTTCAACAAATCCGATATAGCCGTTTTATCAAACTTAATTAGTTCATGGCAGAAATAAAATATATAAATTGATCAAGTTTTCAGCGTACACCATGTGAAATTTAGTATGAAATTGATCTTGTACATGATTAACCCTAACAGAAATGAATGTCCAAGGGACTTCCCGGATGACCATACCGGGGAAATCTATTGTACTCTATGCAGCTATTGAAATTTGTATGTTTACGTATGAGTTGCTATTCCGCTGTAGATCGGGTTCTGGGCTCTTTACTTTACGGTTTCATTGATGGTTGGAAGTTCTCCAAAAGTATGAAAAGTTGGAGGACTTTGTACCATCCATTCCAGTGTTGTTGAATTGTTCAACAGCCTGAGGACTTGGAGCAAATCTTTTGTTATTTCCACTGCATGCTTAAATTGGTTGTTACGACCACGATGAAACCACGGCGCTAGACCTAACAAGAATTATTTATTTTCCTAATTTTTAAGAAAACTACCAGGCCATTTTTCTAGTCAAATTGCGAGCGATCATTTAGCACTGAAAATTATTTGAAACCCGCAGAGAATGAGTACCTATCCCTTACAGGAATCAAACCATTGTCATAAAAAAAAAAAAACTCGAAAGCAATTAATTGGCACTTTAAACTAGTATTAACTTTAATCAATGATTTAGTGTCATACAATTTAAAACACATGACGAGGCGATATAAACTTAGAAGTTAACTGTTAAGCACAAACGCTAAACCTCTTGACACTCCGATGCGTTCACATCACAGCCAACTAAGAAGGTTCACATGGACTGTCGAGTTTGACTACGTGGGGCAGTCGGTCTGTCACATGCAAAAAATGCCAACTATGTGATCTTTGATGTCAGACTTCATTCCCATTCTGTTAGCCTAGAAAAGTGCTGTGCTTGTAAAAGAAAGATCAACTTCGGTTACCAAACTATGGGTCCCTTGCTCCTAGGGCAGGTTTGGTAATTAAGTTTAATTAAGACTTGGTTAGTTGTCATTATCTATTAATTACCATTCAAGGATGACGCGTTACCATTAAGAATTGCATAAATAAGTTGCGGCCTAAAAAAGAGATAAAAGCCAGTGCTTAATTTAGTAAATAATGCGATTCCTTAATTACATGTGCCACGTCCAAGTCTCTGATTGGCTCGAGGAAATAATCCAAGTTGGTTAGCTCTAAGTGAATAAGGCTACACCAAGTCACCAACCATGCAACCAAACCTAGCTAACAGACTGATGGTACATCATCACATCAATATTCATGAAATGAAAGGGCAACCCCTTTTGATTTGGAGTAAAGAAGAAACGAGCAGCAATGCTACACATGTAGAGTGAGTTGGGGCCATGGTGATGCCTACCTCTGACGTTTTTATACGACAATTTACTCGGATTTGAAAAATGGAAGTGCCCGCCATCTTGACTAACTAACCTAATATGCGTATGCATGTCTATTTTTGACGTTGATCGGATGAAACCAAAACATTTAAGATAAAAATGTGATGCATGATTCTCCTATAGATTTCAATTTCAAAGTTATAATTGTAGTGGTGATTAATTTTCTTTTAGTGGCCCCAAAAGGAATTAACATCAACTTATTTTATTATTATTTTTGTTTTGGTTGGAAAAAATTTAAGAAGAGATTGACTACTCTCAACATCAGCGTTAGGGCATACTTATAACCTTGAGTCTGAAGGACTTACGTGTGACACCCAATTAACAACTGTCATCGAAATGAATTTACGTAATAATTTACAAATTATGCACCAACAGAGACTGACGGCAGCAAGACTCAAATCTTCGTAAGGTAACACACAAGTAGGGGCCTTGCCAACTGAGTCAACCTCATTTGCTTTTTCTGTTTTTCTTTGGCTGTATTGAAAATGAAACATAAAAAAAGTGGTATTTTTGAAAGGTTGTGATCATTTTGACTGACAATAATTGAGCACGACAGGCTGTACTGGTGGTTGGACCAAAGATAAAAGCAAATGCTAATGCTACCTTGAAATGGATTTACAGGTTTCAAAAAAGTTACAAGATATATGCTACTTTTAAGGGAAGGTTCTACTTGTACATGTTCTCCCAATGACTTTTCTAACATCACACCTCACCTCTTTCTATAGATGATGATACACCAAAGCATCATCCCTTCTAATCCCAAAAATTCAAACTTAAGATAGAACAATTTCACCATACTTGCTGAAAACACAATTTTGATATAAGTCAATTAATCGTTGAGCACATACCTTTAATTTTTTCAGATTAATAAAAAACTTCTCTCTTTTTTTCTTGATGAGTTATAATTTTTACTTTGTGATATGAGACACTAGCCTCTTACTATACGCGTACTCCTATGACAATATGGTTTTTTTTTTAATTTGAAAAAATAATTTTTATTTTTTAGGGCGTTGTAGGGAAATTGAAAGTTTCACCATTTTTGTCTTCTCACCTGACTTTATATAGATAACGAGGGAGAGAGAATTCCATTATGAAATTCATAGTTGTAGGAAAAAAAATCGATTAGACGTGAATCAACCTAATTAGTTAAGATAGTGTACATGTCCCCTTCAACTTAAATTCATAACCATATATGAGAGTAACTTAGAAAGGAACAAGTGCAGTGAAGGCGCAATGTTGAATGGGTCACCATGATCCTATTCAGTATTACTTTCGTAGTATCAATGGTAGCTATAACTACCATGTACAAAAGGGTTTGCTTCTTTTAAATTAAGAAATACAAGGTAAACCCTAGAATTCTTTTACAAAACCAAAGAAGTCATCATGTTAAATAGTACGCGGTCGAGTTTATACATGTTGGGTTGTGTTGTCCGTCAAAATTACTCAACTTCTGATCGTTTTTTTCTCCCGGTTGCATGTGCATGCCTTCAAGTTTGCTCATCGCGTACGTCGCAGCAAAGAAAAATTATACGCTTTCGAATTGCATCTTTCGACACCTGTCTCTCTCCATTATTAATTTGATTCTCAAATATTATGCTTGGTTAAAGAACACCGTTAGGTGTAGAAATTAGTGGCTGTTGACAATAATTTGGAGGATCCACATGCATATATGGTCACACACATACGCATAACCAAAGAGACTTTGAAATTTTTGCTTATTATTTTGTTTTTTTAAATTGAAATACATGCATCAATTTCGACGTATATTATTAATCATTACTTGTGATTTGAAGGACTAGTTTAATTATAATATAATCTCATATGCAGGAATATAGTTCGCATTTTATAATGATATAGAAGGCTTATGCCTGAATAATGTTTTCTTTTTTGCTTAACATTAGAGGGTTTCGAATTGTGAACACAGTCTATTTTTAATTTTGTTTTTACCCATCATCTTAACCGCTCTTACCATTAGGCTAACCAGTTGAGCTCTTCGATACTCGGTGTCTTTCGATAGTTTGGCAAGATCCAATTGTAGAGCAGATTAACACGAGTTTCAAGTTTGAAGAAGCTAGGTAGGGAACAGGATACAATTCCATCGAAGTTGGGAGAGAGAAGAATATTAAAGCATTACTAATTTATTTGCAGAGATGACCAACTAAGGTTTTTCACCAAACCTGCAGGTTGGTTTGCATGTTGGTTTAAGTGATCTGTTTTCATCCAAGGCATTGAAACTATTGGTTCAGCAAAAACATATTTCCTTCTAGTTATGAAACATTACTTGGGGCAGGTAGCAAAGAAATTTATTTAAGGGAGTGATATAATTTATTCCAAAGCTAAAACAATTGAGTTTCAGTCATCTAATGCTGCGATCGTATGACATTTCTTTATCTTTGACGAGCACTCTCACTACGCAAGGGCAATAATTGCACATTATTACAATAATAGTTAGCTAGCCAACACATTTTCCTCTACCTTCTTCCAATAGGTACGTCTAAGCTGTCCTCATGTGGGATTGGGGCTCACTATAGTAAACTAGTGTGGGACTTAAGTGAATTAGGTCTTACGAAATGTCCCACCTTTGACAGCGAGAGATGTATAATTATCAGTGATCTAAAATTCGACAAATTCGGATAATGTTTGAGCTCAAAAATGTTACTAAGTAATCTGATTTAGGGTCTTCTCAAATGAATAATTCGTGATTTTAGCCTAATTGAACTGTATACTCTTCTTTTTTTCTTAACTTAAGGATTAGGAAGTTCGAAACGAGTTGACATCCAAGAACTAGAAGCTATGTGAACAATCTTAGAGTTTTTTCGACTACATATTACTTAAGAAGTTTGTATACTTTATACATATTAAATAACTTCAAAATGTGTTCATCTAGTAGGCAACTATCGACTTTAGAATTTAAATAACACTAATAGCCAAATTCAAAACGTAAAAGTGATGGTAAGTAGAATGATAGGTAAGAATATACTAAATAAAGGATTCGAAACCTCCCATATATCAAAAAGAAATTCATAAAGCAAAAGTGTAATGTGACATCTTCTAACTATATACGGTCTAAAACTATTTAGGTGTAGCTGCTCGCTAGCTCGATACAATTTGCTTTCTTCAACAATCCCTTTTGGCCCCTCTATATTTTCTTTCCTTTTCTTAGACTCTTCGAGTCATGACAAGACCCTCAAAGTCTTCTTTCTAATAAGAAAAGTTTTACCTCCACCTTCAACTCCACCTCCACCCACTCCACTTGTTTTCTTTCCACACACACACACACACCCAACCCCTTTTCCTTCCACTCATTTTCCTTCCACTCTCTCACTCATTTTCCTTCCACTCTCTCATTCATTTTCCTGAACTCCCACAAAATATTCAACCAATCCCCCATGGCTGCTGCTGCAAAGATAAACCCACTCATTCTCTCAGCTCTCTTTTTGTTCTCAATAATTCTCAGCTTTCCTGCAACAACAATATCAGACAATCCCTGCGCGTATCCATGTTATCCTCCACCTACAGGCACCGGAGGCACTTTTACTCCAACAACTCCGACCACCACAACGCCATCTCCTCCGTCGTCTCAAACCGTGTCATACCCGCCTCCAGCCGTCGTCAACAACCCAACTGGAAATTACCCGTACAACCGTCCTCCGTCTACTTATAACGGTGGCTATGGTTATGGTGCTAATCCTCCTCCGGACCCCATCTTACCTTATTTTCCGTTCTACTACAAAAATGGTGCTCGTGGAAACCAAGACGCTTCGTCGGCAACCTCTGTAAGCAGAAGATCGTCAACGCTCTTCAACACTATTGCCACCACCAATCTTTACGTTGTATTTGTCTACTTCTTTTTTAACTTTCTGTAAAAGTTAGAAAGTCTTCTTTGTTTTATTGAATTAATGAGCTTAGTCGCAATTATCTCTCGTTGGAATGATCAAACGTCATTTGTTTTGTTTAATGAGATTAATCATGTTAAATGTTTTTATGCTACGCATAATGTATGGTATACACTATTATTACTAGATGACGCCTCTTTTAAAAAAAAATTTCTTTAAAATCTTGAGTGATCTAGAAGTTAAATTACAAACATATGTTAAATGACATAATTTTGTAAACTGTACCGACATAATTTTGTAAACTAAAGGACATGAAGCTGATGATTGAATTATTACTAAAATGTTGATTAACGTGTTTATTTTTATTGTTGATAAATCATTTAGTTTTCAAATTTAATGTCCCTAGCATTACCCATAACCATATAGTTAGTTGTAAAGAGGATGAGGTGAATTGAGCATTGGCGACCACCATGGGATAGCCCAATAGTTGAAGACGAATTTCAGGCCCCTATTCGAATTTAGGTGCTTTTTGAAAAAAACACTAAATATGTGATTCTTGCAGGAAACGCTTAAAGTGTTTTATTTTAGGATCCATTTGAATCTTTACTAAGGATTAGTTTTAAAAATATTTTTCTCAAAAGCAATTTCACTCGTTTTAGAAATACTTCCAAACAAGTCATATGTAGAAATATGTAAGATGATGAAGTGAATTGAGCATTGGCAATGTAAGTGAGAGAAAACAGAGCAAGCGTTAAAGAAAGAAAATGAAGATGATGATACCATATTCGTTTTCTTTTGTCCCAAGGTGCATGATTTGTAAATTGCAACCAACAATTTGTGTATTGCATCATTTGTTTTGGTGATATTTGCAGAAAAGGACAGCAAATATGTTTAATTTAACAGTCGGGCAGGAGCATGGAAACTTCACGATTCTTGGTCAATTATGCTCCTTAGGCTCCTTCCTTTCATTTTTTGTCTTCTTTCCAAATTTTTAGTATAGAGTTAAGGACCAACCCCTCATGACCATCAAGTCAATTGGGAGACTGTATGATGACCAATGAACCTAAGCATCCAAATATGTTTCTTTAGAAACAATATTTATTTAAAACTAATCTAAGCCGTGATAGAAGAGAGTTTTAAACAGTATAATAAAAGGTGGTGTTATTCACACACTTATTTTTATCTCTATACACTTTTTTTAATTTTCAAATGTCAAATCGAAATGAATTGATGAAGATCAATAGACAAAAATTAATAAGAATTTAAGAAAGATAAAAAGAAGTGTATGAATAGCACAACCTTATTAAAAATAGGAAATGAAATTGCTTTGTTAAAGCAAATAAAGAATTTCTTTGCATATGTGTTGTAATGAGGGGTGACTATGTAGGTATCTAGGTCAATCCTTTCACAAGCACTAATAATTTGGCGTGTAATCAACAGAAGGAAAATGTTAGGAAGACTATTTTTTTAGATTATATTTTGTAAATCACATGATGTAGCGATTGATCGTTGGATTTATTTTATAATGATTTAAGTAAGGAATCCATCCATTAACCATCATTGCGTCACGTCATGTGATCTACAAAATATGGTCTAAATAAATAGTATGTCTAACATCACCCTTAACAGAAAGGATATTGTTTTCAAACTCTCGAGGTTTGGCTGGTCTACACCCCAATAATAAGAAATACAACCACTAATCAAACCCAATTAGCATAAATCCAGTAGCAATTAGGCTATTAGGTAGGCTTAATTCATGGTAGGGCCGTTTGTTTGGTACTTAGAGTTAAAAGTAGAGACATAAGGAGTAATGGAGTTTATATCTATCTCCCCTACATGACTAAAGGTGTTCTTCGAGTAAAACGCAGTTTTGCTCTTAGATACGGTGCCACATGCCGTGCATGTGACTCTTAAAAAGAGACGGAACTATAAGTAGCAACCTAACTGAAACGACTAACAAGTACTTGATTGAAATTTGAAACAATTGAAACTATAAGGATGAAATTGAAATCCGAGTCAAAGTGGTTGGTGATTTTTGTGAATTGCTTCATACTCAAGATAAATGCCAAGGAGAAATCTTGATCCACCAATCAGCGAAAGATGGGTCAAGTTTCCAACTTTCCCTACCACAATTTTTTATACAAGTGATGACGAAGAAGATGGAATTGAATTTAGAATCTTGAGTGCAAGAGTGGAATGCTTTTTATCAACTCATTAATTCATTTTAAGGTACTTGATTACACAGTACTAATTTGACACATCCCGAATCAAATATCCACGTGAATACTGAGATCAAAGCATGCTGGCCGACGCTCGAAGGACGACAAAACCATAAAACGAAGGTGATGTGTGAAAAATATGAAGACATTAAAACAAGAATTCACAGTGCACGGAAAACACGCTTATTACATAGTTCGCAGTGTCAAAACATAGAAGATAACTTGGTTTGATTACAAGATAAATAAATTTAATAAAACGTTTAATTTGTAAAGGTGGCAAGAGGGCCTAGTATTCCAATTTTTCTACTCCCTCAAACAGCACAACCATATATTATTCTCTCTTCGCCCACATGTTTTGTTACAAGCTTTGCTTCCATTAAAACTCAGGCTTGCAGGGTTCACCCTGCACGGCTGAGTATATTCCGTCTCTCGGTGTTCATTCATGAGGCAACACCAACTGTTAGATGACCCATTCTTGAACTGCTTCCAAAGCCGACGCTGACTTTCACACCCTTCCTTGCCATCTCTCTGCTGTTTCTTTCGCCTCCCACTTTCTGCTTCCCTTCAGTTTTATGACTTTTTGCCATTTTTCCGCTCTCTAATGATCGATGTTTCTGTGTATTAGCATTCTTCTCTCTTTCTTTCATCCTCGTGGCTTCACCTTTTGTTGTATCTCGGGATAAGTTTTTGCCGCTCAATGTGGTTGAAGAAACTGAACTAGCTTCAGAGGGCTCAGCCATCATGAAGTTAGTTTCTCTTGAGGCCTCGGGCAAATCGGTTGTGTTTACAGAATCACTATCAGTAGGAGCATTAGACTTTCCTGTCTCTGAATGTGATGGCAATCTTGAGGTAGCTCCGCTCCCTGGATTTGTTGACATGCTTTGTACTTTAGAGGACTTGGTAGATACAGCCTGAAAAACATATTGAAAATCCATGATTAACTGGGCCATTAGTTTCCAATTTTCCATTTCGAAATCTTAATCACATTCAGAACTGAACTGTTTGGTGCGAGAAAGAACATCTGGTCTTGCTTTAGGCAAAGTGGTGAAACCATGCAACAAAATGGAACAGCAACAAGTCATCCTCTAATCTCAAATTTATGCTCAATTCACTTGGAAGTTCATGTCTTAAAATGCAATGGATGGCATTTATTTACCTTGCTCCCATCAGGCACTGAATTCACAGCTGAATGATAGAAAGAAGGCATTGGTGCTGCTTTGAAGTTGAGGCTTTTGCGGAATTGTTTAATCTCAGCTTCGTTTTTTTCCTGCAAAAACAGTAACGTAACCCCACTGAAATTCTTAAGCAAAGTTTCGGAAGCATGCAATATGGAAAATTTGAGTGGCTTCATCATTAACCATTTGGATCCTTGCTCCAAGCATCAAATATAGCATTCTACTAGTTTGAAAGACATTATTGTCTTTTTTGACACACCAATGTCCCACAATGAACTTGTCAAATAGATGAATCGTCTCATTTACCTGCTTTCTTGCTTGGATCTTATTCATCTCATCTTCCTTGGCATGCATTTTTTCTTCCATCTTCGTGAAGAACTGGATTGTATGCGCCACAAGGACAAAGGAACAAGTCATTTCAGCATTGTAAGCCATATAAATCTTAACCCAAAATCGAAAGGAACACCAAATTCAGAAAAAGTACATGGGGGCTTGCCTCTTTCCTCCTTTCTGCTCGTTCAGAACTTTTGAAATTGAAAGTTGCAACACTTGATCTTGTATCAGACTTGGTCAAATGGACTCTTTGGTTAAGCCTATACGAGAGAGGAATATGGAAGGGGTGACTTCACGAAAATTCTACAGTTTGAGAGGTAGAAACACTGATAGCATTCAGTAAGAAATTCTATAAACCTGTTTTCCATTTGGCGTCCTCTGGACTCAGGCTTGACGCCAGGAGGTTGAGGTTCACCAAGGTTCTTAACACAGAACTCTTTATCACTACAATAATGCAAGAAGTATGCATATAAGGTTCCATTCCGTAAAACATCTCGGATTTCTACTTGCAATCAACAATATATACCTTCGACTCTCATGAGCAGATTTTCCCTTCAGTTTTGTAGAATCCTGAGTGTAGAATCCAAGGGCACACCAGTTTTTGAGAAACCACTATGCTTACAATGTACTATTAGAGGGTGAAGAACATCATAAAGATGATAAGATGCTTACCTCTGATTTTGGAGTCCTGCGAACAGAATGCGTAGGTGGAATTGCAGTTTTTGATGACAGCTTTTCTTTATCCGCTCTTCGTGTACCCTCTCTTTCTCTTGTATTAGATTTATTTGTAGGAACTTTAGACGACTCAGCAGAAATGCTTTTCTTAACCGGAGAAATGCTGGCCTTAGATTTTACTCTGGACTTGGAAATTTTGGATTCTTTTCCAGCCTTCAACTAGATAGGAAACCGAGGAATTTATAGTTAGTATTGTTACTAACTAAACAAAAATGAGTTAGTACGATGAAAGTGTTCTATAAGAACATACCTTTGAAGAAGAATTATGCAAACTTTCCACAATGGTGATGTTAACTTCCTCATCTGCTGCAGTCTTGGGGTTCATATTAACAGAATTATGTGATTCATCAGCATTCACAGCATCACCATTATGATTCTCATTTACATCGGTCTCTGGTTCATCGATACTTGAAGAAAACATGTCACAACCTATTCCAGTTTGATGTGTTTCCTCGGGATTATCATCTTTAATATCCACCAGAATATGCTCATCGTTCAACTCGGATGCCCTCTGAGGATCAGACAATGAAACTTCAGGATCTTCCTTTTCACATTCTTTCACTTCAAAGTCTCCGTGGTACTCTGAACCCTCCGAGGTCTCATCAAAATGAGCGCAACCATTATCTTCATTTCCGTCTTCAAATTCTTCTCTGTACGCATCACTCTCCAAGACATCATTTTCACTGACTTGATGATTTGAACCGCTATAGCACTCGACTAAATTTGGTTTGGGAAAACCCTTCTTCTTGAAATGAGCTTCGAAGTAAGCTTTCCTCTCAATAACTGAACCCGGTTTCAAGCATTTTTCAACCTCTTCAACATATCTGTTATGCGAGAAAGATGACCTCTTTTCCCAAGATAAAACTTCGTTTTCAAACCGCCCGAATGATATGGAACCAGAGTGTAAAGAGTCTGCCTGTCCATTTCGAAGAAGTAGCTGTTATAAAAGCGGATGACTACAAAACAGAATGAATCACTAAACGTAATTTGTCAATTCATCCACTAGTTTGGACATTCATAGCAGAATGGCACATTGTGGGAGAATTTGGATGCACTAGTACATCAATTTCTAGGCACTTCTACTGAAAATTAATCAAGGGGGTGCAAATCAACGATCGGAAAAGCAGATCAGAGCTCATTGATTGCCTCGAAATGCAAGTTCATCGCGCTTTCCATATGACTTACAAAAAACCATATCGTGCACAAAACATTTCATGTAAGGGAAACATTTGTTCCAACTAATCAACCTCTAGGCCTATATTTATTTCCATTCTTTGAATCTCATATCTAGCGCAAAAATTGAAAATTAAACACTTGAAACAAAATGGTTATCAAACGGGCCCAAAGCTTCCTGATTAAGCAGTTAATCTCATACTGGTGCAGAATTTAAGAAACATTACTTACTAACAAACATAATTAATCAAGAAAATTATTCAATCAAGCATAAAGAAGTTACCTGAAAGCTCAAGCCAACAGGCTCTTCTATCTCCCCAGACATGACTATAATCTGCCCTCGAAATCTCAAAGGAATGCCAATCTTTCAGAGACAGAATCTGAAATTAGTAAGCAAACAAACATAGGCAAGCAAGTCCATTAATTTATCCGAAAACCTTGCAAGAAACGTTAAGAATTTACCTTAATCAAAACCCCATTTCACAGCTACAAGAAAAGCATATCAAACAGTGATCTGGGATTGGATAGAATTCCAGAGGACTAAAAAGTTGGGTTATGAAGAATGAAGGAGCTAAAATGTTAGTCGGGAATCTGAAGCAAGCGTGTTAGGAGCTAAAAAACACTCACATGAGTCTAAGACACAAAACCCACTTGTCTGTCCGTCTTTAGATCTTGGTTTTTTGTTTTTTGGGTTGCAAGATTAGATCTTGTTGTTTGGTTAACAAGCTTCTGAGGTTTCTAGAGAGAGAAAGAGTAGGAGAGAGACATAGACTTTTATGGTGAATAGAAGTGATTAGCGTACTTATAAGTTGTTTTCCACGTACGATATCAAAGTGTAAAGTCGGATTTGCTTGAAAAGGTTGGATTGTGAACTGTAGCAATCAACGACAAATCTCAATCGGTGAGGGTTTGGTTGCCTTTTCGCATCATATTATTATTATTATTATTGCCTTCACATCCCCCGTTCTTTCCATCGTCAATGTCTTCTGCCCGCCGACGACGGTCAGTACCCTCCATCCATGATTCCATTTACCTTCTTTTTCAATAAAATAGACACTGTTTAATTTGATTTTATTTAACTTTTATTTTTTTAATAGAGAACTTTAACGAAAAACTTTAGATATTGTTCACTTTAACAAAAAATCACATTTTTATACTAAAAAATCAATCATGATACTTACCTTACCTTTTATTTATTAATTTTCGTTAAAACTCAAAATTTTCAAGTGTCCCTCTAAATTTCTCTAATTTATGGATAAAAATTTTAACTTGGGTGCAAATGGAGTGGGACATTGCCTGGCTAGGGTTTTTTTTTCTTTTCCGCCAATACAATTAAATTTACATTTTCAGCTCTGAATTTGACGAATGGACATTAGAATAAGTTGAGTGAGCATCGAAAATATTTTGGTTTTTGGCTTCGCATGTGTATAATGGCGAAGCCAGGAATTGTCGAGGTGAAGGGTGAATTTAAAAGAGTGCAAGGTTCAAAAAAATAGCAACAACCTAATCCTTTTATATAGTAGTATCTTCCATAACTTATCAGTACAAACAAATTTCAATTGTTGCCGGCTAGATTTCAGGTCATGAAAACATCTCATAATAGACTTGTTATCAATAAAAGCAAATACATATTTCTCGATGTAAACAATCATGCTACCATTTAACCATTGACCTTCCATTTGTACGCAATGGTGTTTTCACAATATTCATAGCAGAAAAAGCTCTCACCACCGAAGTGGTTGTAGCCAGTAATACCAAAACCAATGTAAGAAACTTATACGCTATCATATAGCTTGCACACCTCCTAATCATCACCAACTCCTTTGCAAGATCACTACTTCCTCCCGGTCTTAGACTCTTAATCCTAGAGTAAAATATAGGGTAAATTACATTTTACCCCCTCAAGTTTGGGGTCGATTTCAATTCCTTACAACATCTTTAAAAGATTTCACTTTCATACCTCAAGTACTATTTTATTTCAATATAATACATCCATTACATTTTCTATCCATTGGTCTATTAAGAGCTGACATGGTTGCCACATTTATGCTACGTGGCTAAACATGTAATAAAATATTAAAGTATTAAAATAATTATTTAAAGAAAAGTTATAAAAAATAAATAAAAAATAAAACCAGATCTCCTTCCTCAGAATCCCCACCCGTGCCCACCCTCCCACCCCGCATCACCCACCCTTTCCCTCATCACCTACAACCATTTCCCTCCCCATTGCGCCTCCAAAAACATTCCCCGTCCAAACCACCATCACCCCCTCCCCTGCACGGCTGCCGTGTGGTTTTCTACCATCTTTCCCCACCCTAAATCCAAATTTCTAAAGCCCAACAAGCAAAACCCTTTTGCCTTGGCTTTGGCAACTGCTGTATCTTCCTTCACTTTTTCTTTTTGCAGGCACAGAGGCATATATGGACTCCTCAAAGCTTTATGTCCATCCTTCCCCGAAAGTAAATGGGAGGGTGGCGGCGGTGTATGATGCCGAGTCCCTACACTCTTCCTCCCGTCAGGCACAAACCCACCATCCTCTGCTGCAAAACCTAGAAGAAGAAGAGAGAATTGATTACACAAAAAAACCCTGAAGACGAAGAGAGAGAAGATTGAAATTTCAAGTGGGTTTTTGGTTTTTGAAATTGTGAGGTTATTTGGATTGAGATAAAATGGGTGGGTGGGTGAAATTTCAAGTGGGTTTTTGGTTTTTGAAATTGTGAGGTTCTTTGGATTGAGATAAAATGGGTGGGTGGGTGGCTACATCTGTTCGAGTGGTGAGGTGGGGGTGGCTCTTGTCTTTTGGGTTGATGAAATGAATAATGGCAGCGGCTTGGGTAAGAGAGAAAGGGAGAGAAAGAGGTGGTGTGGTGAAAAATGGCGGTTTGGGGAGCTTGGGAGTGGATAATTGGGATGAGATTCTCGTAATGGTTGAAGGTCGAGAACTGGGGATTTTGGATCTGGGGATTTTGGGGGGTTTGGGGTTCGAGAGAGAGAGTGGGGAAGACGAACTGGGTTTCGGTTTTTTTATTTTTTTATTTTTTTATTTTTTTAATTAATTATTTGAAATTTTTTATATAGTGTTTAGCCACATGGCATAAATGTGGCAGCCACATCAGCATAAATATGGACCTCTTATTTGCCACGTCATCACTTAACGGTTTATTTAACAGATTTTCTAACGGATGTATGAAATTGAAATAAAATAGTACTTGAGGTATGAAAGTGAAATGTTTTAAAGATGTTGTAAGGAATTGAAATCGACCCCAAACCTGAGGGAGTAAAATGTAATTTACCCTAAAATATACTATATGACTACTAACTAATTAAACCAACAATTCAATTAATCAGTACCAATAATCATATAAATTATTCAATAATCCAAAATTCAATTCCATTAATCAATATCAATAATTAAATAATCAAGAATCAAGAATTCAATTTTTACCCTAAAAAACAATTTCATTCATCAATAATCATACATAGGATTCATAACTATAATCAATAATCAGTAATCAATAACTATATTAGTGTATTACTCTATGATTCTTTATTAATTAAAATTTCATATTAATTAATCAATTAGGGTTAAGATTGGAAAAAAATCAATTAGAGTTAAAGATAATATAAATTTAAAAATTAAGAAAAAATAAAACATGAAAATCTTTGCTTTTTTTATTGGTTTTCAAAAGGGAATGGAAGACTTAATGGTGTGAAGGCAGAGGCAACGAGGGAACCCACTTCAATTAATTTTTTTAATCAACTAAATGAAACGCATCGTTTGGTTAAGGATTTTTCAAAAAAATAAAAAATAAAACACTGATGCACATTAGTAGTAGAAACCTAGAAACTAGAAAGCAAGCCGAGCAGCCATAACTTCCGGTGGGACCAGAGGCGGAACCACCGCTCCTAGGCTTAATTTTCGGCGAGGGGAGGGGTGGACGTCCCTCATTGTCTCTTCGTAGCGTCGCCACTGCGTGTGTATGCTACCACATACAAAATAAAAAGAATATAACTCAATCCAGTACAATACGTAAGCCACATTTAAAAAAATAAAGAATTAGGTTGATTAGTTGATCTCCAACTTGTTCTTTTTTTTTTTTTTAACAAATTTTAAACATGCAATTGATCTCAGCTTTTCATATTGACATAAAAAAAATATGTTTTACACAATTTTTAACACTAAACCATAGTGTTAGTGACAACATTTTTTCTATTTAAATGTCAAAAATATTGGTTGTTGTATTTAGAGGAAACATTAGAGCCGTTACATTATAAAATATTGGGGATATTGATGGGCGGTCCAGTTACAAATTCACAATCTGGACAAAGTCTAAACCTTTGGAGGAGCCGTGTCCATGGATTGTGCATGTCTCAATGTGCCCTACATATTCAAGATACAGGGCCAGCCACACCTTATCTAATAAACTCGGATCCTGTCCGTTTATTGAATTGTGTTCTTGCAATCCTGTCCGTTAATAAAAAAACTAATAATTATTTTTTTATTTTTTATCCTTTATCCTCTATCCTTTGGTTTCGCTTTTTAGAAAATAATATATAAACTAATCATATATTAACCAAACATGATAGATCCATGGAATCCTCATGAACATAAAGGGACTGATTCCAACCAGGCAAACAGATCTGTAATGTTGTTTCCTAATCAATGACACTTACGTATTTGTTTGGGTAAATTATATTTTACACTCTCACATTTAAATGTAATTGCAAACTCATGTTTTATTTTAAAAACATTGTAAGTTCAAGCTTTATTTTACATCTGTTAGTCAATTAGTCAATTAGTCAAATTAATTAGTTGCTAACTGATGTTGTGGCAAGTGCAAGTTCCACATATTTGCTGACGTGTATCTCACATTTGCACCCAAAATTAGACCTTACCCATGTGGCACCATAAGGTCAGAGAGTCAATGATTTCGCCTAGAGACATTTGGTGGGTGGGAGGGATACGTCAGATGGAAAGTCTATGGCTTCACCATATATATAACTTTGAAGAATAAAAACAAAGGATCGATCGAGATGGTTGTGAAAATAACTCGGCAACTTGGATTATATGGGTCCTTTGACGAATGCATATCACTACACAATTTGATTGATTTTACAAGTTTTTACCACAGATGTAACAATTGGTAAAAGTTCAAAGGTAACTAGTCAGGATGTGGTAGTTTCGAATCGAAGGACACGTGAGGTATTTGCTCTATGCAACGTATAACTCATGCATGTGAGGAACTCCATGTGTTTTGGATCTAACCTTCTTTGTTTAACTAAGTGCGATTAATGTTTGACAACTAATTAAATTAATTAGTTCAAAGTTTATGAATGGAGCATCTCAGGAAGGTCATATATATACATATTAAACAAAGGCAGCTATCATTATGTATACGTTTACACATCAATTGCAATCAAATATGATTTTGATAGAGTAACAAATTATGGAAAATTTAAGCCAAATTATGGTTACCAGTTGAAATTATTGAGAAACTGTCTATTGCTTTCGGAACTTAAGTTAGCAATTACATATGTTATTATTTAGGTAAAATAGTATTTTACCGTGTGATAGATAGCTAGAGTTAATATGTGGTTGTTTAGGGCTTGTCAATTAATTGATTAGATATATAGTTAGTTAGATAACTGTTAATCTTGGAGTACCGACCACTATAAAACTTCATTCCTTGAACTACTACCTCAATAAGAAATGTAATAAACGACTGTTCATTTCCTCTTCTTCCTTTTCTCTCTGAAGTTCTTTCTTTTCTTACAAAATTTACCGTGTATAAACTAGTTCATTTTGTATAAATTAACAATAATCATATTATGATAGTGATCATATTTTGAGTAAACGAATATATAATAACTCGTATGCATGGCACAAAAGCTACAAATCATTTAAAAAAAAATATGGAAAAACAATTTAATTTAAAGCTGACTAAGAAATCAACAAAAAGAAGTCGATTTTTATTTTATACTCCCTTCCAAACAGCAAATGGCCTATTTGACCTCCAAAAAAAAAGAACAAAATCAGCATATTCCCTAGGGCCTAGGATAATGTACACAAGCTTAAGCCATTGGTATGCATGTCATGCAGCAGCAGGCTGTAGAAGGGGAAGAGATCAACTACCGATCGATTTCATCAAAGCAGTACGTAATAATTTATTATGAATTAGCTAGGATTATTAAGTTCTATTAAAATTGTTTTTGGAGACGGATTTGATGAAGGAAGCACTCTTGCTTAACTCCCGCAGTACTGGTTTGTCAGTTAACTCTTTCAATGGTTTGTCAGTGAATCGAATGAGATTGTAGACAAATCCACCGAGTATGGTGCCAATGAATGGACCTACAAAATAGATCCATATTCCCTTGTATGTGTGCATCACTATTGCTGGCCCTAGGCTCCGTGCTGGGTTCATCGATGCCCCTGAGATCGGTCTGCATCATGTTATATGTATTCAAGTACGTTAATTTTATGTATCCAAACAACATTATTGTATGCTGTATATGTGCTATATGTATATGTATGTATGTACCCGGCAACAAAGACGTCGATGGTTATTGTCATTCCTACAGCAATTCCTGCCAATTCTCCAATCTGCATGCATGCAGTGCAGATATGCATATATGTATGAGATATTAGGTTTAGGTTTAATTAATTAATTAACGAAGATAGTGTTAATTACTAACAGCTCTGCTGTCTGTGGCGACGCCTGAAATAACAAACATCAAGAGAAAAGAGGCAATGATCTCCATGAGCAAAGATCGAAGGTTCGGTCCAACTGGTATTGTTCCAAAATATGCCGTTTGGGGCACGTCCAAAACAAGGCATAACGTCCCGCTTGCAAGGATGGATCCTAACACATGCGCTGCAATATACAGAGGCACCTGCGAATTATGTAATGCAATGCATGAATACATAGCAAAAAGTTAATCATGATTAATTAATTAATTGATTGGAGATAATTTGTGATTAATTAATGCCTGTTTGAGTGGAAAATGGCGGAAGATGGCGAAGGTGACGGTGACGGCCGGATTAAAGTGGGCACCGGAGATATGGCCAACGGAATAGACCATAACCATGACGATTAATCCCCATGTAAAGCAAATTCCTGGAAATGTTACTGAACCGTAAATTTTATTCACTGCTACCGAGCCACATCCAATAAATATCACAAAATATGTCCCTATCACCTCTGCAATTACCTGTACATTAATTTACATAAACATATATATTTGTACTCTTAATTAATAATTTATTTAATCTAATAAATTGGGTCCTTTTTTTTTTTCTTTCACGTATGTTGTTACCTTTTGGGTAAGTTGAACAATCTCTGGAGAATGCCAAAATCCAGAACGCTCCGAGTAACCACTGCGCCCTTCTTCCAACGTTACCGCTACTTGATCAGACATCTTGTTATCCTTTTAATCAAGAACTATACGCTAGCGACACGACTTTCCTATACGCTAGTTAACCTCTTAACGATTTCTTCGTGTCTATCTCTCTCCTCTCGTTGATCGGTTTAAGCAAATAAGCAGAAAAAGGATCTTGGTGTTACTGGAAGAAATTTAAATAGCAAAGAAAATTATCCTTGTTTTTGGATAAACAAAATGGATGGTTTAGCCGTTTTGGTGAGTATCTAGTGTAGGTAAATGTTCCTAACTATTTATCAAATTTCATCCCCAAAATACGCAACTAACAGCCAACATTCATCTTGAATCAGTAAAACTTGTGGTGTTGCATCTTGGTTATACTTGCCAACCTCATACGAAAATTTGGGTTGAATTGCATGCATTTTGTCAAATCGGTTTTCAACTTTTATTTAAGGGTTGGGGTTTACTTAAAAAGGGCTGCGCCAGTTTACTTCGAGGCTCCGAAGTCCAACTTTTGGTCTTTTGGGTTCTGCTTTAATTTGTTGCTATGAATATTTTGATATTATCTAACCCAGCCCATGATTTCAATTCAGAAACATTTAACAATTGGGCTAATATTTTCCAGCCCACCACGCAGCTCACATTTTGCTTACCTATTTGTTTTGTTTGGCAGGGTGCAGATGACATTTTACTCCATGATATTTTGTAGGTTCATGTAATCTGTTCTTTCTTAGGAATCCTATTCTTTGGAAACATGTGTAAACATATGTAAAGGTGTTTGCCCTGTAAATTAGCTCATTCTTCTACTTGCAAATAACGTATGACCACCGTAGAAATTTCAAAATTAGAACTGTTCATTCTCATAATCTTCATTTAAAAATCCTCCCTACAAATTTTTTTTCAAATCCGATATCGTTTAGTCATCCAAATGTATCAAATAAATCAACGGTGTAGATACTACATAATACATTTAGATGATGAAACAATATCAGATTTTAAAGATTTTTTGTAAAGATAATCTTTAAATGAAGATTAAGAGATCAAATGATTCCAATTATATAATTTATACGATAAATATGTTTTACTTTCAAATGAAGAAGCGTTTTTTACATGTATACTTCGACTTTAATTCGTAAATGTTTGACTAAAATTTTATCCCTGTTTGTGCAGGGGTCGAAATTTTTTATAATATCTTCTTAATTTAGTTACAAAATAAATATTATATGCTTTTGACGTTCTTTCTTTTGAAACAAAAATAAAGCAATGAATTAAGTAGGTTAAAGTGTCTGTACATTAATCACACAACTTAAAGTGAAGTTTGCTTTGACAGAGCTCGACATTTCCTCGTTATACGAGTATTGATTTATGGAATTCTTGGTCTAACTAAATTAATTGAAAGGAGATAGGGGATATATGAATTCATATATACAAAGGGAGAAAAGAAGAAAAAATGGCTAATCAAGAGAGGAACATGGGACCATTCACATGATGCAAGTATATCTCTAGTCACAAGTCAACAGTCTATCGAACAAATTATGCTATTAATGTGGTGCATTGGTTGCAAGAAAACTTCATTTTCCAAATCAGATATAGGAGAAATCAGATTTTCATTCCTTGTTCTTGTATTTCATTTTCCAAAACGTCATTTGGTTTTTATTTACGTCATTATTTCAATATATAATAAATTATTTAAATTAAAAATTATTTAACCATTTTCAAAAAGATCTATTTAGTGTTAGAAACGTTACACTTGACATATTTATATTTATAGTTAAATTTTGTATTGTATATTTCTACTTTTAATTTGTACCCTTTTTTTTAATTTGCAACCATTTTTTAAATATGTACCAATTTTCTTTTTAGTTTTAATTTGTACCTATATATATTCTTTTCTTTTTTTTGTGCCCATATTTTAAACTTTTATGTGTACCCATAATTTTTTTTTTCTTTTATTAGGACCCATAATTTATTTACAATGTAGTAGTATTTCATAAAGAAAATGTACCACTTTGTTATATATATATGTAAAATGTACCATTTTTTATTATTTAGAACGTACAAATATTTAAAACTAAAAATAAAAATTTATTTTGCAAAAATAAAAAAGCGCAGATCATATTTCACAATTCAAATTTGAGGGAAGAAAATTAAAAATTCTTATTTGGTATTAATTTTTGCATGATTTTAGAAAGGATTTAATCATTCTTGTTATTAAATTTTTTAATTAATATTGAAGTTAATTTTATGAATATTATTGTATCTTGTTGGATTGGACGAACAAAGTTTCTATTACATGCAATGTCTCTCTCGATCGCTCTCAACAGTCAAACAAATAATGGTCCCAAAGCCGCAGCTGGTCCATCTCTCTGGCTTTCGTGTTCGTTGTTCACCCTACACTGACCACGACGGCATGACCACCTCCTCTCTTGCTCTCTCCATCTTTTGATGATCCATTTTTGTTCCTATGCATTTATTTTCATCTGCACCACGCCTTTAATGTTTTGGTCCAAAACCTAGCCAATTCTCCAACTTGCGCACCATTTCTTCTGATATCTATCGATTCATGCATATACACACACACACACACACAAACATTATCTTATCATATAATTAATGAAAAAGCTAACGAATGATGGTTGGGTTTGGGTATATTATTTTTATGTTACTGAAAATTCTCCACCTGAATAAATTTTGGTTATGAAATTGGGGGTATATATTGCTAGGAACCGATTAAGTCACGCAGTATTTAATCATAATTCCATATTTCAGAGATTTGTTTTTGTATCATGAGGTGGTGTGCCTGCAGGACTTAGGACCAGAAGGGTAGCATGGCCCCCATGGATGCTCAAGAATGAAGCCACGCGCACGAGGACATACCATATTTCTTGATGGTGTACCCTACTCATCTTCAATCCAACTTAATCACCCATTAATCCTTACATAATCTATGTTCTACTACGTCCAAGTAAAAATATATTACAATTAGTTATGGAGCGTTCATCTATATTAAAGAGCGTGTTAGCAACATGTGATTATTTTTTGAGTCTAAGGAACATTATTTATGAAAATACTCGTTAAAAACCTTATCTAAGTAGAGTTTTCTGTATGGACTGAGATGATCGTGGTGAGCTATATCTTTTAGTTTGTCAACCATGCACCAATCGAATTTTTAGTGTGTGAAGTGCAAGCTGACGGCATTTGTGTACGACCAAAGTACCGAATATAATTAGCTGCAGCAGACTATCAATCATGCATTGCAAATGCAGAGGCTTCTTTTCGTTAGCTGCAAAAAGATATATGCACATATAGATTGAGATAAGTTCAAACTTCAAAAGGCCTGGACTTTTAGGACAAAAGACCTCATAATTCAACTGCTGCCATATCGTGGGGACTCTTAAATATTATATAATTCCCTTCCATGTATTTTTTTCATCCACACAAAGTTGGGTTGGATCCCTTTACAAAGCAAAGAGTCGTAAAATGGTAGGACCTTGACTCTTATAGCTACTTAACTATATGTATATATGAGTGTGGTTCGTGTCACATCGGGGTCCATTCCCTTTTGTATCCAGAGAAAAGTTGCAACAACAAAGTCCAAAAGCCTTAGAGGAACTTGGTTCCCAAACCGTCCCTACCTTGCTTGGATTATATATATCTTTTATCTACTTGGCCACATTGAGCAATTCGATCAATAATTGACAGTAATGGCATGTTTGGCTGCAATCGCTGTTTGAACAGTTTAAGCTAGCTTTCCAGGCTGCAGCTCCACATGAACAAGGTATGGGCATCCACATGAGCATCGACCCCCGCCACTTTGGCCACGTGTTTGCAAACGGGAACTGTACGATGGTCGTCACTTAATCGCCATGCCCATGAGAATTAGTCCACATCAATCAATCATACTAGCGCCATGCATGCATGCCATGTACAGTCTAATGCATTAGAGCGATTTATATATAATGAATTTATCGTTACCGTAACATTCTGTTTTAATAATACATTGTCACACATAACGTTGTATTACTAAACTGAAACTTCTTTATGTAAGTCTTTCTCCAATGCATAATCTCAAGATTAGTGTTTAAGACTTTCTTTATGGAAGTTAATGTTGTTTGCCGCATGTCAACATTTTCACCAACATGAAACCCTAGCATTTCAAGTCCAACAAGTAAAAGATAGGGTTTAGGGTTTACATTGAATATTTTTGGTATAATATTAATTGATTTAATAACATGAAACCCTAGCATTTCCAAATGCAACAAGTTAAAAGGTAGGGTAGGGCCTTATATTAAAAATAATGATCAATAATTAATTGAATTTGGGGATATCATTAACCATTTAGCCATTAACAAGCAATAGCTACTAAAACGGGATAGTGAGTTAGAAAGTGTCAAGATTTTAGGAAGGTTAGTAACAAATATACACCGATAAATTATTTTTCAACTTGCATTTTGCCAATTTATACAACACGACAATCGCAAGAGTTTTCTCACAAAACGTCTCCATGTAATTTGAAATTTGAATACAAATCATGAACTCTTGTATTATTGAAAAGATCGTGAGGTTGAAAACACAGTGCACACGTGGGGGTGAGAGCTACCTGCTTAATTGCATTTGTTGGATTGTGGCTACAATCGCATGTGAGAGCTAACCCATCTGCATGTTAAGGCTGAGTCCGCCGTTCCGTAACTCGCCAATTTGCAACCTCCAACATGCATGCACGACTGCCGTCGCTTTCGTTTCCTTGTTGGCCTACTGATCGAATCGATCGTCGAACATTTTGGTCTTTAATTTCTTCCCTCTTTCGTGTTTTACTGCCTAATTTTGTTCTTTGACTCCTTACATTTTACTTTCTTTACGGGGATACTAATTAAATTAAGGCTAAAAATGTTAACACCTGACACTGAGTAGTGTGTACGTGTGTTCCCTCTCAAAACTACACACCCCCTCCTTACTTCAAATCTTGGGATACGGGGGTTCCCCTTTGCCCTCATGTCTAATCATAAAACTTGCCAACTTGTCGACGGATTAACATTGAT